AATAAAAGGCATAAAGACTGGAGTTTCTTTTCCGACGAATTTTTAATAATTGACAAAAAATTGTATCACATCCAATACTTCGAGTATTGCGATACCGTACTAGAATCTTGGCAGTGTTTTCAACGTTTTGAGAAACTCGAAGTCGATATCTCGATAAGAACAACGGGGAATCTGCAACGTAACAGTTTAATTGATTGAAGTGTTTGTGCAAAATATTTTTATATTTATTATACTATTTATATTAAATTTATTAATAGAAAACATAGTTCTTACTAGAAACTGCAAAAATATTTAAATTTCTTAATCGTATTTTCACTTTTAATAGCATAAAGGAACTTTGTAATTCAGTTTCTGCGATATATAACTTGTTAATAGAGTATAAAATATTCACAAGTGTTTGTTTTCTGAAGGAATTAAAGCAACGGAACGGCACAGAGCAATTTTTTTGGTCGTAGAGTTATTGTCGCATTCCGAAGAGCCTTCTATAGAATCTCTTCGTGCAAAAGGACGGATGCCAGAAGACCGGTCTTCCTCTCTTTGTGGGTGTCGAATAAAATTAAGAGAGAAAAAAAAAGATAAGCAGGATGTTGGAGACTCGCGCGCAACCTTACAACGAGACAGACTTGAGTGAAGGAATAATTATTAGGCAAATTATGCATTGTATTGTCTTGACTTGTATTGTGCTTTAACATCCTTGTCAGTCTTGAAAAGAAGAAATATATAATGAAATAATAAAGTCAAGGCTCGTGTTGCACTTCTAACGCATGTTGCATCGTAAATTACATCTATAAATAATTTAATCCAGGAACTGACAAGACTACACCCTAATAAAATTATATATGCTGGTCGTAAATCAAATTTGCAATTTTTAATTTTACAATTAGAGAAGATGCTAATTTCGGTCGGGTTGGATCTCGGTGTATGTATGAATTTCGTATATTTTTTCAGTTTTACAACTAGTCTAAAAGTGCCCACCCAATTATTTATCGGTCTTAAAATAAGTCGTTTTTATTGGAGCAGTAAATCCACATACATCGATCTACCTCTTCATGCTAACGAGCATCCTTTTTAGAATCACTGTAAAGAATTTGTTGCTAAACTGTCACCCCTTCCGAAGTTTCGATCTCTCTCACAATCCACCACAGACGTCTTTCTCAGTTCAACCGTGTCAGGCATGTGGTAATGTTTTTTAATTTCAATTTGTAGAATTCCGCATCTGAAAATAGTTGTTATTTTTTTAATTGTTACAAGCGCAGTCTTGTATTAACTTCTCGAATAATCACGTAACCATGGATCGATCCTCATCTTATCTGCGCGCGATCCGCGATGATAATCGTCTAACAAAAAGTCATTACCATGTTTACATGACAGAACACTGGATTTTCCACTTTAAAGATTCTGTTAGTATCATCAGAGAGATAAACATTATCGGACGTCACGAACGACGCGGGGGGATGCAAAAGTAACGTGTCACGAATTCCTAATCAGATGTACGTTTTCGTTAATTCTTTATCGAAGGAGCTCGCGCGATGTATCAGTCAACTGTGGTCAGCAGCCGCGGCTGGTCGATTCGGATGCATCGTAAACGTAAGTACACATACAATTGTGTACGGTTGTAGTGGTGTAAAATCTATGCAGCATATACGTATCGTGAATGCCTTGACGTTCGATAGCAATTTTCTGAAGGTATTTTCGGAGAGAATCGCGTGATATTTACACAAGCACAAGTCATGACTATTCGCCGGGAAGAAAAGGGGGTCATAGCCATCCGTTATAGAGAAATAGGCAACCAGCGATAATTGACAGCTCTAGCGTGTGACATGGCGTAAGGTTAAACGATAAGCACAGATTATTCGTCGTATTAAATAAAATCGTGGAAAAAAAGTATAATCTTCTAGACTTTCGTGTCATAGGCCGACTTTGTAATTGCTAGAACGCTCGCAACCGCTAGAAAATGACCGCGAATGCGACGATGTTGAGAGAACAATCGAACAATCCTCAGGCGAATATTACCGCGTTTTTAATTATTAAGTGAACTTGAACTCTTATAGCAGCTTGTCAAACTACGCGCTTTCTAATTTTACGAAGCTACTGTCTGTGTCTTCAAACGTATATCGATTCTTTTGAGCTAAGAAGATTATGTTTTCGAAGGCTTTTTTTAATTTTCTGAGAATTCTTTCTTCGTGAAAGATTCGTTTCAGGCAGGAAGCTTAAGATCTCGATTACGAATTGCGGATGCTAATTCGTTTGTTTAGGAAGACCGCAGAGGGATGTGGCATTTGATCTTCCTGTTAATCGGCAGCGCGATGGCCGGCGAGTCCGGACCGGAATCGCCGCCGGAGTTCCCTGACACGACGATCAAAATCGAGGCGCCGCTGCCTTACGAGGAGGCATTTCCGACTCCGCTTCCTGGTCTGCTGTATCCCAGAGAAAGTGAATCTCGAGAGGTAAACCGTAGTACATGACGTGACAACTGGTCTTTTAATGCCACTCGAACCTGAACCCCGAGACAGCCGGCACACGTTTTCACACTTCCATCGCGAATCCAAAAATGTTCTCGTGTTCAGTAAAGCAACCCGCGACATTTCAGCTTACCATTTACATCTCGCTTATTAAAAATATTTCCAAACACTTTCCATTCCAATGAGAAATTTATTATATAACGTAAAACGTATACATTATTTGTAATTAATAAGCCGAAATTATTATGCGTTGGTGCCATTTTACACTGTCTTAAAAATGTACTTCTATATTAGATAAAAATGTTTACAACGAAAGTAAATATACAATGAAGAACGCCGGATATATTTAAGTCCTCCGTTTTTTCTACAGGTGAGATCACTCGACGGATTGTGGGATTTCGCCGTGTCGCCTAAAGGAGATGCGCTAAAAGGTTACACGGAAGGATGGTTCACCGATGATTTATCAAAGGTATCCGTGACTTAATATAACAATTAATAACGTCAAACGTATGTAAATGATCGGAGTCAAATTTAGAGAAAGACTCGCGACGAAAACATACTAGAAGGAATAATTTAATAAATGAAAAATTAATATAACCAGAAGAGAGAGAAGTGAACGAGATATTTTACAATTGCATAACAGTATACAGGGAGATGTTTAATTCATTAATTTATTTCACGCGAAGACTCTAAATTAATCATACGCGTTAAAATTTTCCGCATTCGGGACCGGCATTGCATTCTTTATGCCTTTTTCTAAACTATGTAATACTGTTAAATGTTCAGCTCATCCAAATAATTCTTTCAAAACCCTGCTTGTAAAACGTTGTCTAAAAAGCTTTGGCAGGATTTCAAAGAAATTTCGAGAAATCTATTATATCCCACTAGTTTTTGTTTTCTCATATATTTATCATTGTCTTTTTCATCTATTCGCTCTTTTATTACTTTTCATTTACTCGCTAATTCGCGTCCAACTTTTGCCCGTTCTTGCTGCAAGAGTCACGTGTATTTTATAGTTTCCCATAATTACATGTTCGTTTACTCCGTCATTAGTGAGGATCTATTCGCGTAAGACATGACTGGCTTTACAGGTCGGCGAGATGATGAAGATGCCGGTACCCTCGTCCTACAACGACATTACGACATCGCGGAACCTCAGGGACCACGTCGGGGCCGTATGGTACCAGAGGACCTTCTTCGTACCCATCTCTTGGCGGGACCAACGCGTCTTCGTCAGATTTGGCTCGGTCCACTATCTCGCGCAAGTGGTAAGCATTCGCTGCTCTGAGTTTCTCTGTCCCAAAGTGATTTCCTTCGGGATTTTTCTTAAATCCATTCGAAAATTCCTACGGAAGCAAAATAAACAGAGAAAGAGGCGAGAGATATAGATTGGCAATTCAATAATCCAATCTCCACTATTAAACGGCTTTTCTAAATAAAGAGCTTGTCGATTTGTATTTATAGAGAGACTACGATATATTTCGTGACAAATGTTCAATTTTAACGTGACTTTTTTTCCGAAATACACGTAACGTTAAAATTTAAGTTGCAAGACGCACATTGACGTGGTTCGCGGGCGTGTTGTGTGTGTTCTGACATAGTGGGTGAACAACGCTTTGGTGACCAATCACGAAATGGGCCACCTGCCCTTCGAAGCGGAGATCTCGTCGTACGTGACCTTCGGCGGCAAGAACCGCATTACCGTCGCCGTGGATAACACTCTGCTGCAGACTAGCGTGCCCCAGGGCAAGATCGTGGAGATGGTCACCGACAACGGCACCACGCACTTGCAGACTTATACCTTCGATTTCTTCAACTATGCCGGTATACACAGGTACGAGTTTAATTAATTAAAACACGGTACCGTGGCTTGTTTAATTGAAACGATCGAGGATCAATTTTTTACCTTCCTTTTCTTCTTTATTAAAAATAATTTCAACCACGCTCAATGCAACTATAAATAACGGACGTACAGGAGAGAAATATTTTTTGAAACTTATAACTTTAACACATTATTTCTCTCTCGTTTAATTAATATTATTAAACTTGTAAATCTTGCAGTTTCTTTCAGTTTACCTATTTTTCTCAAATGGATCTCGAAAGTTAATAGATTAAGAGGAAGCAAAAGACTCCACACCGAATTTTTAATTGAAAACAGAATTAATACAAAAATACAAGTGTAACATATAGTTATCAAGCGAAAAGAGAATACACATGACAGGTGTAATCGCATTGTTCCGTTTCGTTATTATGCTATTACGAAGGACCTTTCGAGTTCTCTGAAGCGACGCGCGAATTTCACTCGTCACAAATAGATCTCTATCAAGGGCTTTGTGGAAAAACTAAAGAGAACATTCAATGCGTTACGCATTATAATCGAGGCCACAAGAGACACGATCGACGGGATTTTAGCTTTTCTATAACGAAAAAGTTTCTATGCCGTAGAAAAATAGAGATTGACAGTTCGATTAATTTAATCACGCACGATAATTCGAGATAGTTATAGGCAATTCAAGTGCATCATAATTAATACAGAAATACAAGTGAAGTGCAATACAGAGGATTTATAGCATTCGTTACTAAATCACTCTATCAAAATATTTCATTCATTTCAATTTTTGTGTGATTTAGAGTTAAACAATATTTTCAATTTATTTATTTTGTAATTTATTATTATGCATGAAAGTATATTCTACAATCTCGCGATACGATTGCGAGACTGAGCCCATTTACTAAATAATTCTTTCAACACTTAAAACAGTTTTTGTATCTATTGATTTTTTTATGTCTAAGTTCCTGCATTTACCAAGTCAGAATGCACGACCCTAATTTTACTAATGACACCGCTGTTCCTCTAATTGATAAATTTTATTGCAATACTTTGCGAAGACCCGTTGTGCTGTACACCACGCCGCGCGTCTACGTGGAAGACATCACGGTGAGGACGAGCCTGATCGGCGACATGGGAATTGTCAAGTACATCATACAGCCGGCTGGCTTGCGCGAAGGGGAAATACCTGTCTGCAGAGTCACGTTGCACGACGCCGAGCACACCCTGGCCATCAAGGAGCCCGTTTACGGCCTGTCTGGTACCCTGAAGGTCCCTCTCGCCAGACTCTGGTGGCCCAGAGGCATGGACCCCAAACCGGGATACCTGTACACTTTGGAGGTAAAAAAAGAGAGAGAAAATTAAAGAGAAGTGGGCCGCTGTTTAGAAAATTATACGTGACTGAAGTATTACTTTGTATTAAATTCTAAAGATTCGTTTGCGAAATGGTATGTCGCTTTTTAGGTGAGACTCTCGGTGGCGAATGTCACCAAGCCGGACATCTATCGATTGCCGATCGGCATCAGGACACTCGCGTGGACCAATACGAGTCTCTTGTTGAACGATCGACCGGTGTACATGCGTGGTTTCGGCAGACACGAGGACTCGGTTATCAGAGGACGCGGTTTTGACCTCGTTACCGCTGTCAGAGATCACGAGTTGCTTCAGTGGGTCGGCGCTAATGCCTACAGGACCAGTCACTACCCTTACAGCGACGAGGTCCTCGATATAGCCGACAGGTGCCGAGAATTTTCCTACAGTTATATCTGATACACTAAAATTTTTTATACGCACTTTTGTTGCAACGCTACTTCGCTCTGTTAAATTCTCTTTTGAAGATTGGGCTTCCTTGTGATCGATGAGTGTCCTTCCGTCGATACCGAGAACTATTCGCCGTCGTTACTATCGCGTCACAAGGACTCGCTGTCGGAGCTCATCCGCAGGGACAAGAATCGACCCTCCGTAATCATGTGGTCGCTGGCTAACGAACCGAGGACCCAGTTACCCCAGGCTGAGGAGTACTTCAAGCAGATCGCACATCACACCAAAGCAATCGATCCTACCAGACCGGTTACCATTGCGCTAGCTCGAGGAGTGCTGGTAACTTAATAAATAAATACATTAAGTATATGAAAAGATAGAACGTGAAACAATTTTTTTTTAATGAATACTTAGATTTAAATACTTTTCAAAGAACATAAAATCCTCTTTGTAGCAAAGTTTCAAATAAAGTTACACTTCGATCAAATGAAAGTCAAAATAATTTATCTAATTGTAACTCAATCTACTCAGGGCTTCTAATTTTCATTACAATCGGTCGTAATATGAAAATTGCCGATAAATAGATACTGTAAATTTTAGGAGGACAGAGCTGGTCAGTTTCTCGATGTGATCAGCTTCAATCGTTACAACGCTTGGTACAGCAACGCCGGTAGAATGGACATGATCACTAGCAGAGTTCAAGGGGAAGCCGAGGCTTGGCACAGAAAATATAACAAGCCGGTACTTATGTCCGAGTACGGAGCCGATACTATGCCCGGTTTACACGAGGTAAGCCTCGCTTTATAAAACCAAAAACTCTCTCTTTATATGCATAATAAATTATGTTTGTTCTATATTTACTTAACATAAGTTAATCCCTCTCTCTCATCGCTTTTTAATTTTATTACAAAAATTAAAATATATAACCACATATCAAAATAAAAAGTATACAAATATTGAAACGAGATAAAAAAATAATATAAAAATGTAGAAATACATAGAGGAAAACTGTAAATATAAATAACAAATATAAAGGAAAAAGAATAAGAAAAATAAAACGAGAATATAAAATAATTGTGCAATTTTGTCCAATGAACTTTTATTTATTACATTGTAATTTTTTATTTAATTTGTATTATAATTTATATACATTCCATATTAATTATTTGCAGTTACCGGAATATGTATGGAGCGAGGAATACCAGAAGGAGCTATTCTCTAGGCATTTCGAAGCCTTTGATCGATTACGACACGAGGGTTTCTTTATCGGCGAATTCATCTGGAACTTCGCCGATTTTCGCACCGCACAAAGTGAGTATCGAATAAAATTGTATTCGCTAATTTATTATCATAATATATATTATTTCTTTTAACAAGTAGATGCTGACATTATCACGGAAACTTAATAACTGTAGATTATAATCAAGTTCATACATTCTTTTCGCTATTTCTACATACAGCTATAATTAAAAGTGGCCAATACGCTTCCAATTAATAATTAAATCAATAGCTTTAATTTATAAGAACCGATAGCGTTGTGCTTAACTTAAGAGAGATATCATTCAAATGTCAACTTGAGATATCGAATCATTGAACTACGAAAAAAAAAACGCTTTTTATTAATACTCGTTTGCGCGTTGCAGCGTATACGAGAGTGGGTGGCAATAAGAAGGGAATCTTTACGAGAGACAGACAGCCGAAAATGGCGGCCCATCACGTTAGGAGGAGATACCATGCGCTCGCAGTCGAACTGGACGGTGCCCAGGTTCCGGAGAACGTCGAAGATTACGTTTCAACCTATTATTCTCACTTAGAACTCTGACTGAATTTAAGGAGAGACAAAAATTAACGCTTCACACACAGATATTCGTCTTAATTTTATTTTTACAGAACTGCATTCTATTCGTTTTGTACATCGAGACGTAAAGGTTGCACCGATAACTTAATATAGAATTATTCACCTGACGTGTGCATTCATCAAATCATTTGTACCCACGAGAAAAAGGGTTGGGAAAGTTACTTTATAAAAGAATCTAGTTACAGTTGCAGTTGCTTCGCTAAAAATGTAACTAGTTACAGTTACAGTCACTTAAAAAGTAACGAATCGTTACTCTGCAGTTACTTTCTTGCAATGAAGATAAAAATATCAAATCTGCATTTGAATTGTAAGGAGCCGATACGGGCGTTCGTGCGTAAATGCAAGGCCTGATGCAATCTGTGGAGGTTTCAATATATACAATAAAGTAACCAGTGATGTAACTATGTAATTAAATTAGTTACTAGTTATCGAAAACATGCAACTGAGTTAAGTTACAGTTACAGATGGAGAGAAAGTAACGAAGTTGAGTTACGAGTTTCCAAAAAAGTAACTGCAACAACTTACAAGTAACGAGTTACTTCCCAACCCTGAGAAAAATGTAAACCCTCCAAGGTTATTCGTCCGGGACTCGTTCACATTCGTTTGTATGGCAAGAAAAAAAAACTGCATACTCATTTTCCATCTGACGCAAACTCTTTATATTCTGCCTACTCTTACGATGTACATAAATATTTAAATTTTAAAAAAACTGCATCTCTCTGCCATCTCGACGTTTTTGTACAACTCGTACAATATATTTACAAAGTTGTATTAAACATAATGTCCTTTAATCACAGACTTATTCGAGTGGTTATTTACGCCGGCGTTATTTAGAATGGCTTAGCATCGTCCGGCGGTTCCACGATCTTCAGACAGGCGTCGGCCATCTCCACGAATATGGGTTCCTTCATGGCTAGTGTGATCGCCTCGGTGGGATTCGGACTGTTCATAATTGCGCTCATGATGTGGCGCAAGTGGGGATTCTGGAGGCAATTTATCAGTTCCTTGCTGTCGCACAATTTCTGCAGCTTCTCCGCGGGCACTGTATCTTCCGTTGGAAACTTGTATTCGCCGATCCTTTGGCGTTCCTTGGGTCTCTCAGGTAACACTGGAGGCTCGCAGGGTCGAGTCTTGTGCTCTCTGCAACACGCCACGGAGCAACTGAAAGGAATAAAACAATGAAGTCAGTTATAAAAGACACGAAGGCACTTAGTCGACATACGTATAGATAGGCAATAAAGAAATTAATGAAACTCGACTAACGGAATAGGGCGAAATTTGGATACGTTGCTCAGTATATTTTTCTGAACACAATGATGTAATAAAACATTGTGTTGCAATTTTTTCTAGGTACCTGCCCCCCCTTTTTTCCGTATTTTGACTGGACTATAAACTGTACAGATCGATAAGAACGACTTGGCGCAAATAAAATGCACAGCGAAAGGAGGAAAACGAGATCCTTTGTCACTCTTATTATAATTACATTGTAATTCAATTTCCAATAAGTTAGACAAAGGTGACACGTTTACTATTAGGCCCGGTCTGCAATGAGTTGTTAGTCAGAAGTCAGAACTACATCCGGAAAGAAAGAGAACCCAGCCAACGCAGAACATTGCAACAACGTTGCGGCAACGTTGTAATATTGCCGTAATGTTGCTGCAACGTTGTAATATTGCCGTAATGTTGCTGCAATGTTGCAACATTGCCGTAACGATGCTGCCAATGTTCTGTGTTCGCTGGGAACCGACATATAGTTCTGACTTCCGACCAACAACTCCTTGTAGGCCGGGCCTTACCCTTCTGTACTGTCGAAAAGTAGCGCGACAATTTTTGAAGGGATATTTCAATTTCACAAAGGCTATTTTCGTGCTCTCTTCAGAAAGCACATCGAGAGGCTGGGATAACCTCAATCTCTGGCAAGCAGTTATACTTACTAAAGTTCCCTGCACCTCGGACATTTGTAAGCTGCACCGTCCTTCCCGCAAACGCAACATTTTCGTACGGTCTCACTCATCTTCAATTATCATAACTCAATTGTTTTATCAGGCACGCTGTTCGATACACGTATAAAAATATCGGAGCGCGAGCACGTGTCGCGAATGTATTTTTAGACGACCACGTGACCGGCGGGCGCGCGCTGGTGTAGGGCGCCATCTGCGGGTCGAGGAGAGAAGCAAATTTAAAGTGCTCGGGGAATTTAAACTAGAAATGCTTATCTATATAGAAATGAAATAGGAATCTCGACGAGTGCTTTATTTTTAAGTTTGCTGGCACTTGTAACGTTTATACTATGTTCAGCACAAAAATCAATTATACATGTAGAAGAAAGCCTCCTATTATGAGACAAGTTTCTAACATGAGACAGCAGGGTTTCTGTTAAATTAACAAGCATCATCTGTTGGTTCCACCATGAATTTATTGCCCTTGGAGTGAAATCTGTTTACTGGAAAGTTGATTATTAAATCGTGTAAGCGTCGCGAAGAAAGATTTGTGATTAAATTTGGACGCTGAAAACCTGCTATCTCACATTGGGAGCCTATCTCGTAATAGGGGACTTTCGTATTTACATTTCGTTGCGTATATATTTTCGTATATTTTTGTTGCGCGACGTTGAGAAGTCATTTCGAGAAATTTTGAACTTTATTACGAATTGAATAGATATACAACAGATATACAATAGATATACAGTCAACGCTATCGTCGTAAACTTGACATTCCTAATAATGTGTCAGATCGAGAGGAAATATTTCCATTTTTTGCTCGGTTAAAAATTATTAATCGTTAAATATTGCAATTATTTAAGGTCTTATGTGGACTTTCGTAAAACAAATAATAAATAATTTAAAAACTATCAAAAACCAATGCTAAAAATTGAAGTTTTTTGCATCATATTCTTCAAACCTGTAAAAATGTTTCTGCGAAGTTTCAAAACAACTTGCCTGTTTATTTTGCTTAATTATTATTTAAAAACCGCTATATTCATCACACGGAACAAAACGCTGTTGAATTAAACAAAATGAAGTTGCTTCAGTCAAACGTTAATGTCACGGGCTGCCACAAGCATAAATAATTCACTTAATTGTATTTGCTATCCCAGTGAGAAATGATTCGTCGATCGACGTCGAAATGATGTCGAATCGACGTCAATTCGACGGTGTCGATGTCGATTCGACGTCATTTCGACGTCGATCGACGAATCATTTCTCACTGGGATGGATTTTAATTTTAAGCATTGAACTAAATATCCAGATTATTAAGACAACAATCTCATGTTTTTCATTTATTAATACTGATTTTGTTTCAATGATTTTATTTCAATTGCATTGATCTTGTTAATACATTATTCTTTTTTCCGCACAGTATTGATGCGATATCAACGACAGGGAAAGAGAGAGAGAGAGAGAGAGAGAGAGAGAGAGAGAGAGAGAGAGAGAGAGAGAGAGAAGTTGATAACACCGCATACCGGCTTAAATCTCTCAAGCTTTACATTTTCATCAAAAATAAATTCTATCCACCATAAGCAATACTTAAAATTATAATTTCATGAATTTCTCACAATTGTGTGCCGATTAGAATTGATGCACTATTTTTATTTTCTAATGTTTCGGATTAACTTTTGAAAGAGATAATCCGTTCAACATATATCTTTAATCATTTGTCAAGAATTATTAAACCGAATTTACTTGAAGTTGTGTTTATAAGATTTCAAAATAAACTCTCGGTTCAGTAACAATGCTTGTAAACAAGGAACCGACAAATTAAAAAAAAGTCGCTTACTTTAAACGACTGAGCATCGAGAATTCTGACTCCCGGAGCAGAGCTCGGTATCTTTTTCTTAAATACAGATATAGTTACATATACAGCGACTATCTGTACCTGCATCTTTCATCGGAAAAATAATTCAGTGCATCTTGTATCTGTATCTAAATCGAAGGAATTGAAGAAAACTTGTATCTGTATCTCTTCACCGAATCCATTGAAAATTTATCTTGCGTCTGTACACTGAGAAAAATGTCCGATTAAATATAATCGGATAATCCAATTACATAATAACAAACGAATATATCCGATGAAAGAAAATGTGATCGGTTTTCAGTAAAATTTCATCGGTAACTGCATTCCATCGGATGTATCCGTAATTTGTTCGGAAAAATTAATCATCGGAAACACTGTCTAATTGGTTTATCCGATGAAAAATTTTCTCAGTGTATCTTTGATGGAAAAAAGTCAAGATACCAAGCTCCGTTTCTGAGGATTAATAAATCGTTGAGTCCTCAGTTGCTCCAATGGGAACCTCCTTCCTTTTCGTTACAACGTGCCTAAAGTCTCGTCACGAAATTGGCCGAAGCGGGAATTTAACGGGCCTCGAGCAATTTCTAGGAGCGCGTCTCGTTTATCGCGATTTATCTTTGGCGATCCTCGGAGTTCGGGCTTTCGTGTAAAATCGGTAGCGTTAGGAAAGTAGCGTTCGCGCGAACGCACCGCGGGGAGAGAAATTACGACGTATTTCGATGAGGAGGAGGCGGAACTGGCCTGGATCTCTAAACGCGATCTCGTGGCGGATAACGATGGAAATTCGCATTCTTGCGGCGCGAGAGTACACGTACGTACGTCACTCGCGTGCCGGACACGGTGCGTCAACCGTACGCGTGATTCCAACGTGATTTCATTTCACATCACGCAAGAACCGAATCTCGCCTCGGCGATTTTACCTCGCGGCACGGAAAACGGATCCCGGACTCGAGTCGCGATCCGAATTCTCGCCCTCGGCGCGACACGAACCAAATTTCATTCCTCAACGACGACGTACCGTTTCCGCCTTCGCGCGGATCCAGACGTCTCTTTAGTTTAACTTCACATCGACGCGGTCTGAATAGATTTTGATTTTTAAATTAATTTTAACTCCGCATTTATCGACGTAGCAATCAACGCGGGAAGCAAAGACTGCGCGGCATTATAGTAAAATGAAGAACATATAAAACAACATACGACCGTATAATTAAATTCAAATTACTAATAAGCAATCAGAGCCAAGCGCGGTAATTATTATCGCGCGAAAAGATTCAATTGAAATTGCCTGGCGCACGTTTCGGCCCCCTTTTTTCGACTCTTCTCAGCGCAAACGTATAATTAAATGCGTAATTACGATACAAATGTATTTACAGTTTCGAAACTACCGTAGGCCCAGAGTCGCCGATGTGAATTGTCATCGCCGTCGAAAGCTCTCGGCGCTGAAACTTTCCTCCCGGGGCCGGTGACCATGAGTAGAGCTCGCGCGCCCAAGGTCATTGATTCCACCGGCAGTTCCGGCTCGGTTTCTGGGCCAGGTTAACCGACGGTCCCGCGACGGCGACGTCCGGAATACCTTCGCTCGCCGTGACGTCGGCTCGGCCCGATACGGGAGATACCGGTAACGAGCCGGCATAACTCAGCGGCGGACTCGGGCTCGTACGAACCCGAACGTTCTAACGCGAAAAGTCCTCTTCGAGCGCCCTTTTCCCCTCCGACAAACTGGCGGACGATTATAAAGACTATAAGACGATTGAGTCCCAGAAGAAGCCATTCCCAGTGAGAAATGATTCGTCGATCGATGTCAAAACGATGTCGAATCGACATCGACACCGTCAAATTGACGTCGATTCGACATCGTTTCGACATCGATCGACGAATCATTTCTCACTGGGTTGCTCTCGCGAACATTTACGGACGCGAGCGATGTGCTTCGAGTGAAAGTGATCCCTCGGAATTTTCTCAAAATGAGCCCAACTACACAGTGTATCGGTAAAATTGTTGTAACTGAGGTATCTGTATCGAGAATGAGCTAACGGCTCGGCCAAGTCCCAGCTTGTAGCTCGCTCAGCGAACATGAATTACGGCCTCGCGCCTAGCATCATCGAGGCTCATGGCACTCGCGAACATTCCGCCGAACGAAATGCGAATTGACCGTTCATTCACGTCCGAGACCCCGTTCAGCAGCGGCGCATTGGCGCGAATTTCATCTTCCAGGCCCTGGAAGAGGCTTGGAAAGAGCTTCCGAAGGTCCGAACGCGCGAGTGAACAGTTCACGAACGCTCTGGTAGATAAACGAGAGATGAATCAAAATTCTATACCAGGTTCATTCTTGATAAGGAAAGGACCGAAAACTTTCGCCGGCTTTTAATCGAGCAACTTTGTAATCTGCATACAAGTTTGGGACGAAAGGAGTTTCCCTCGCTCGTTTCTTCTTATACAAGTCGAGACATTATATTGGAAGCTAATTGTTAATTACTAGAGCTAGTTTTAGGTGGAGGTGATTGACCGTGTTTGACTGCATAAATCGCAACGCAGATGATAAAAGCGAGCTCTCGTGGACGAAGATCGGGTTTACCTTGAGGAGGTCGCGCGGTGCGTTAATCTCATTCTTCTCTTTCCGTCTGCGACGACGGGAAAATGCGGTGACCCAACGCCAGGAAATCCAGAGGGTCGTGCCGAATCGCGACTGTACGTGTCTCAGATCTTAGATTATCACGGTGGTACAAATTTACCATAATAGTAGCATAATTATAATATATACACCGAGAGAATTTCCTTTTAAAATTTACCCTGAAAATCATGTAATCGTGGAACAGCATGGCATTTTGAAGAACTTTATGAGAACTTTTTTTTATTTTACCATGCATTTTTTACTAGTAAAATGTATACTAAGCGTAATTGCTAGTAAGAAGTATAGTAAAATTTCAAAAAACTGTCGTAAAATTCTTTCGTGGGACAACATGGCATTTTAACGAATTTGTTAAATGTTAACCAGGCATTTTACTAGTAAAATGTATACTAACAATAAGTATAATATAATTACTAGTAAAAGGTACAGTAAAGTTTCAAAAAACTCATAAAATTCTTTCGTGGGACAACATAGCATTTTGACGAACTTTATGTAATTTTTTTTTAATGTTACCATGCATTTTACTAGTAAAATAACTCTCGTAAAATTCGTCACAATGCCATGTTGTTCTACGACTACATGATTTTCAGAATAAATTTTAAGAGAAGACTCTCTCCGTGCATAATTGAATTTATAATATAATATTATATGTTAAATAAACTCGAAACAAATTTTACATAGAGCCCGCGAACCAAGCGAGTGTATTCTAACAATAAGTGAAATATAA